TTCTGAATTATTTTATGTATGATTGAGTTATCTTTGCAAGTCTCTTCGAATTATCCATTTGGTTTGGCCAACTAGATTGGTAGTTCTGGCAATGGGAGAAGTGTTTAGCTTTGGGTTCAATCTTGCGGTGTCCTTTCCCAGTGACAGTAGGGACAGCAAGGCACGTATTGTATTGTTGCCATCAAGGATAACAAGATGGGGTTTTTATCATATTGCATGAATTTATCCCTCTACATCATGTCATCTTGCTTAAGGCGTTACTCTGTTTTTAACTTAATACTCTAGATGCATCCTGGATAGCGGTCAATGAGTGGAGTAATAGTAGTAGATGCAAAATCGTTTCGGTTTACTTGTCTCGGACGTGATGCCTATACACATGATCATACGTAGATATACTCATAACTATGCTCAATTCTATCAATTGCTCAACAATAATTTGTTCACCCACTGTAGAATACTTATGCTCTTGAGAGAAGCCACTAGTGAAACCTATGGCCCCCGGGTCTATTCACATCATATCAATCTCCATTACTTTAATACTTGCTTTGTTTTTACTTTGCCTTTTACTTTTCACTTTGCATCTCTATATCAAAAATACCAAAAATATTATTTACCATCTCTTTCAGATCTCACTCTCGTAAGTGACCGTGAAGGGTTTGACAATCCCTAATCGCGTTGGTTGCGAGTAGCTATCGTTTTGTGCAGGTACGAGGGACTCGTGCGTGATCTCCTACTGGATTGATACCTTGGTTCCCAAAAACTGAGGGAAATACTTACGCTACTTTACTGCATCATCCTCTCCTCTTTGGGGAAATCCAACGCAGTGCTCAAGAGGTAGCACCTCCCATGGCAGCCATAGCGTCGGATGGTGCTCCAAAGCCACCCATGCCTCCCATGGCAATCGTAGGTGCACCCATGCCTCCCATGGCTTCGAAGCCACCCATGCCACCCATGCCGCCAAGGCCACCGCCACCCATGCCGCCAAGGCCACCACCACCCATGCCGCCAAGGCCATCGCCACCCATTGCGCGGATCATGGCTCTTTTTTGGATCAAGACTTCTTCACGGGCAAGGTTGACATATTCCTTTTACGCATCATTGAACAAAGATGTGTCCAAGAAGAACAAGTGCTTCTCCCATTCCAACAACTTAGCTCGTTCCTCCATGCCCACCTTCCTCTGCTCCAATGCCACTTTCCTCTCCTCGGCGGCCACCCTTCTCTCCTCGGCCGCACCATCTTGGTTCCTTGCCATTTTCCTCACCTCGTTGGCTTCTTTTCTTGCCTTCACAATAGCTTCCATAGCATTTTTTAGCTCATCATCTCCTTTCCTCTTCTTCTTTTCGGTTTTGTCTTTCTTGCACCCATCCGGTCGTTTTGGCTTTGAGTATGAAACCGAGTTGGGTGTGGGGCTTCTCTTGCCGTCATCACTTGATGCATCATCCTCTTCCTCCTCCTCATCATCATTCAACTCAATTGTTTGCTTGCGTTTGTTGCTCAAATGCAAATCATCCAAACCATCACGCTTCTTCCATTTCTCATCATCCTTCAACACTTCATAGCAATGAGGCAATGTGAAGATCCTTCCTTTATTGATCTTCCCCTTCTTGGTTGTCCTCGTCTCTTCTTTGAACAAGTTTTGTGCAATGTTGTATTACAAGAAAAACAAAACAAGTTAGCACTTCGGACACCAAAAACAAGTATGATGAACATGTATGAGATGCCACTTACTCTATCATCCTCATTTGTTCCACTTGGGTTAATCTTGTCAACTGCCTTTTGTGCGGCCGCCCACTTTTGACAATCCGAGTTGATTGTTGACCATCGGGACCGAAGTGATCTCTCGGAGCGGTCAATTCCACTCACGTTGTTAGCATCAAAGTGTTCTTTCATTCGCCCCCAATTAGCATCTCTACTTTGATCACCTCCAACGGATGGATCCCTCGACACTTGCAACCAAGTATTGCATAGTAACTTGTCATCGTTGGTGGTGTAATTGCCCGCTCTTCCTTTCGACGCGTCGACAATGCCCTCACCCTCCTCGTCCACCTCAAACTCACGGTCTTCGAAATGGATGTCATTGGTTTGAGACCGATGCGAATTTTTGGACCCAACACCCATAGTTGACATGTATGCATCATCATTGAGACTACAAAGTTTTTTGAACAATGCAAATAAGCTATCTATATGATGATGCATTGAAAAAATAACAAAAAAAAATAAAAGATGGATTTTTTTTACCTTGGGGGCATTTCGTCAAACACATGGTGCGCGTCGGTGGCCGGCTCAACGAGTGAGCTCGCCGGAGCTATAGCCGCCGCGCCCGTCAAACGCCCTGCAAGCTTCTTTCCCCTCGCCTTCGAGCTGCCGGAGCCGTCCGCCGCCTTGTTCTTCTTCGCGGATGTCTTGCCCTTCTTCGGCCGCGCCGCATTGGGGAGCTTCGAGGGTGCGGCGGCGGCACGGGACGGCGCCGGCGCGACGCCCCCCGTCAACGTGGTCATCTGCGGCGGCAAGAAGAGGCTGCGCGCGAGGCCGACGCTCGGCGGAGCTCCGGCGATGGCGACGCCAACGCTCCCCGCGCTAGGGTTTCCGACGGCGGCGGGGAGGGGGGGAGGGGTCGCGGCTGTACAATGGGGTGAGCGGGGTGCCGACGCGTGCGTCCATGGCGAAGTTCGCCGGCGCCAGCACGCGCGGGTCATAGGAGGCGGAGAGGAGAGAGTGCGGCGCGAGCGCTCGAATGTGCGGCGCGCGGAAGCGGGCGCCCCAAATACACCGCGCGGGATAGCGTATTCGACCGCGCGCTCAACTCATTATAGCGCGCACGCGGTTTTTGCGCGTCCGCTGGAGCGACCCGCCGCGTTGCGCGCGCTAAAACGGCCTAATTTGCGGCGCGACGCTAATTTAGCGCGGCTGGTGGAGATGCTCTGAGAAAAAAAAATCCCCATCGAGGGGTCGAGGCGTCGAGCTAAACCTACTCGTTCCCGAGCGGCCGAGCTCTCCACCGCCGCCGCCGCCGCCACCGGCTGCCAACCACCGCCTCGTCTCCCTCACACCTCGTCGGCCTACGCCCTCTCCCTCTCCCCTACCCCTCCCCTCACAGATCAGTGCGCCCCCTCCTCCTCCAGCTCGCTTCCTCGCCCCCTCCTCGACGTCCTCGTCGGGTGCGCCGTGCATCACCCGGCTGGCGCGCGCCGGGGCCAGCGTCGCGCCGGCTGACCCAGCCGTCTATCGCAGCCCCGTCATCGTCACACACCCGGGCGAGGGGCAACAGCGCGGCCTGGAGGATCAGATCCTCCTACGGCGCAGCAGGGCGACGACACCTCCACCTCCTACATCGGCGCTTCCTAAGTCAAGTTCGTCGAGGCCGGCAGCGCCCGCGCCGTCCCGCTCATCTACAAGGCTACAACAAGCCCGCGAGCGCCTCCTCAAGGTCACTTCCTCCAAATCCCCCTCCCCCCTCCCTTCCTCTCTCATTTTACTCCAGAAATTCCTGTTCTTTGGAAGTCAACCCGAAGTAGATCTCGGTGGTATCTTGATTATTCAGTGCAGTAGACCACTTTGTAAATGACTCCCTCCGTAAAGAAATATAAGAGCGTTTAGATAACTAAAATAGTGATCTAAACGCTCTTATATTTGTTTACAGAGGGAGTACAAACTAAGGTACATGGGTTGCTGTTCATGAACAACACAAGTAGCAGGCATTTGGTTAATGTTCATGGGTTGCTGTTTCAAGAACAGAGAATTGCTATTAGTTGCTTCTGCTTGATTAGGATTTGGAGTTACTGTAATTAACATGTTAGTATGGCACTAAACGCATGAATTTTACAATCTACTGGACATCCTTTGCAAATTCCTGTAATAGTGAAGAAATAGAACCATAGGCTGAATGAAATTTTAACTGTCAAGTGCATTCTTGTTCTGATTGTACATATACTGATACTTTACATGTATGGGTGGGGAACTGATCTAGAACCATAGGCTACAACCTTAGTTTCTAGAATCGGTTAGTTTGGTTTTGGTGAATCTGTCATATGGTATAGTTTGGGCTGGGCGCCAATGCCAATTACGTGGGTTCAGTTTGGTTTGGTTTCTGAAATGTCAGCACGTGGGTTCAGTTCAGGTTTGGTTCGGTTGCCCACCCACTCTCAGATTTACTCCTACCCTAATTAAAATGAAAAAACCTAATTCCAACCCCTTTCTACGCCGCCTTCTCCAACCCTTCCCCCCGCCGCCGCCTTCTCCAACCCTTCCCGCCTGGCCGCCGCCTTCTGCCAACGCTTCCCCAGCCCGCCCCTACGCCACCGCCTTATTTCACACGCTTCCACCGGCATCCGGCTATTCGCTTTGGAGTTATCCCCGGTTCCTACCCTTTTGCGCGAGATCCTGTGATACATGGAGAGCAAGTGCCAGATCTAGATCTGGCCATAGCTTTCTTGAAAATAACCATTTGCGAGCGCAAAGAGGGAACCAAGGTCCAATGTCCACCGATTGCTTTGAGTGAATGGGCTTGTCCTCTCATGTTAGGTTTTGGCAGCGCGGGCTTCAAGTGGCCTTGTACGGTGGGCCTGATGATGTAAGTTACTTCGTGTTTCACTTCTACTTTGCTCCATAGTGGATTCTTTTGGGACATATCCGTCCCATGAATGATGGAGTACTATTTTTTTTTGTCACTCAAAAACATAAATTATCTCTTGTCGAAAAAAAGCTACTCTTTCCGCTGGCCGGCGGAGTTGTCGAGTCGGTCTGGAACCGGCAGTCGGATCCGTTTTCATGTCAAACAGCAGATTACCTGCCTGGTGTCCGGATCTTTCCGAGTTGTCGACCGCCTGGTGTCCTGGTCGGTTTGGGAACCGGTAGTCCGAATATGTTCTCATGTCTATCGACAGAGCACCTACCTGATTGTGCTCAATATATATGCACGCACATCGATATCTATAGACATAGTTTCTCACCCAGATTAACATTGTCTTGTTGGTGCATTTAGGACGCAACGAAGGCTGTGATGGCTGTGAGCTTGAAAACAATCCCAGAAATACAGAAGGTATACAAGCGGAGAGTGCGCCGGCAGGTCCCTGTGATACCTGACGAGATTGTCTTTGAGATTCTTGTCCGGCTGCCTGTTAAAGCTATCATAAGGTTCAAGTCCGTCAACAAGACTTGGCATGCTATCATCTCTCATCCATGCTTCATCGGTTCACATCTCCAACAATCTGCCAAGAACCAAGAACGTAAGCCTTCCTTCCTCATCACCCCACATATCCTGGACAAGGTGATCGATAGCGAGGCCTGGCCGACCACCTTTTCCAACTACATCCCCTTCTACTCATGGCAAGAGGGCCAGGACAATGCGTGCCTTGTTCACTCAACAACCTTCCGTGGCGAGTTTGGGTCAGTTCACAACATGGTGCACTGCGACGGGCTTGTAGTGCTCCCGACCAACACCAAGGTGTTTGTCTTCAACCCAGCAATACATGATGTCCTTAAGCTGCGTAATGGCCAAAAGGATGAGTGGCAATTCCCGACTGTCAGTTTGGGCTTTGACCCACGCACGAGCAAGTACAAGGTTGCTCGCTTCTTTTACCGTTCAATAAATTTTTCTACAAGGACTTATAGTGTGGGAATGGAAATCTTTACTATCGGTGGTGATGATAACTCCTGGCGGAGTGTTGCGGAGGATCCACCGTTGCCAATTGAGCCGGGGACTGTCACACACTTTAAGGGCTCTTTGTATTTGCTTGTATGGGATGAACTCGTTGAAAGGTGCCCACAAGGTGTTCTTCGCTTCAGTTTAGAAGATGAAACATTTAGTTTCATATGCCATCCTCAACTTCAGTCATGCAAAGGGGAGCAGCTCAACTTTATTGAGCTAGGTGGAGAACTATGCCTAGCTCAATGCCTTGATGGGAAACAAGTAATATGGATGCTGCACTCTGTTGACGGTCATGAATGGATTCAACACCGTGTTATTATCTTACCTAAGCCAGAGCTGTACAAAACTTTATCGGTCCTTCCTAAAGATGTTTTGCTTATTCGCAGTGGTAATTGTCTTTACCACTATGCTGATGCCCGTCGAGATGCAAGGGAAGTGGGTCGTCTGGATCAGCTGAGGTATAAGAATCCTAGAGTTGGGTCCTTTGATTATGTTGGTCAGGATATCTTCATCTTCGACATGTTTTCATACACGGAGAGTCTTCATCCAGTGACAAAGCAAGGCAAACAGAGAATCTATAAGGATGGAGATGAAGCATTAGATGGATGATGAAAAGCATTCGAGAGAAGCCATCTTAATTACTATCAGTTTAGTTTGTCTTTTATCATTGTAACCGCAGGCCATACGGGGCCATACATGTACCGTTTGTTTACCTGCCTGAACAATGAACCAGTTATTCTATCTGCTCGTCGTTTTTTTCTCCTTCCGATATATGCTAGGTAGGTTTATTAGGCCCCTTTTATTTTGGTGTAAAGTATGACCAAAAGTTTTAACCAACGAAATGTAAACTATATGTCACAGGAATTATATTGTTAAAAAATTCTTTCAAATACAAATCCATTAATCTATTATTTTAAAATATATACTACCTATTTTAGTAGTCTATATAGTTGAGTTGGTCAAAGTCTAGCCCAAAATACAAAGGGGCGCAATAAACCTGGACGGAGGTAGTAGCGTATAATCTTTTGTGTTATGGGAAACGTTTTCATGACAGACCGGTTGGTCACATGCGGGCTGTGCGTTTTGCTTCGATCATCATTGTAGTTTTTATTTATCGCTCAAAGTCTTTTGCTTCGATCATTGTAGTTTTTATTTATCGCTTAAAGTCTGGCCCAAAATACAAAGGAGCGCAATAAACCCGGACGGAGGTAGTAGCATATAGTCTTTTTCGTTATGGAAAAAACGACGGACAGGCCAGTCACATGCAGGCTGTGCATTTCGCTTTGATCGTGCTGACACATTGTAGTTTTTTTATCGTCTTCTTCCACAACACATCTTAGCCTTATCTGCTCCCCATGATTTCTTGCTGCCGGTCCGTCATGGCTTCCGCTGGCGAGCTTCGCCACCGAATGGACCTCTCCTATACCCCTCTTTTTTCTCTTTCTTTCCGGTGACCTCTTCCTCCCACCTACCTCAAATTTCATGTTGTTGTCCCCGCTCCTAACAACCAAGGGCGGGTCCACCTAAGGTCATTGGTATAGGATGTACACCCAAATATTTTGGCAACAAAACTCTATATATGGTATATACTCCCTCCATTTTTCACAAATAGTGCATCCGTGTTTTCTGAGATCAAGTTTGACCGTAAATTTAACCAACGCGACCGACTGCGGCGGGAGCAAAAATTATATCACAGAATTCGTATCGAAAATATGAATTCTGTGATATGATTTTTGCTCCCGCCTCAATCGGTCGCGTTGGTCAAATTTATGGTCAAATTTAAATCTCGGGAAGCACATACCCACTACATTGTGGAAGGGAGAGAGTATTAGTTATATGTGTGTTAACCATGGTGTAGTTTAAGCAATGAACATCACATTCATTTGCAAGCCTTGTGCACCTCGTCCAACGAGAGCATCTCGTTCTGGCACACTTGCGCACGACCCAATTGGCCCAGCGTGAGTAGCTTGATCCCCCGGTTCCCAGTTATCATATCTACTAGATCGGGATCGCGCCTTGAGGTAAGGGTGCCGGGCTCAATATTTTGGTCAAAACAGATAATGCTAAGTTAGTAGGAATCCAGATTTAGCATATGCATTCGTACATATAACAATAAAGTGAAGAAAAAACATTCAATTGTTAGAGGAGCGAGCATAGTGGTGCTCGATATCGGCATGAGATCATAAGGAGGAATCGATTTCGGTGTGTTTAGAAGACCACAAAAGATAGCCACTCGACATGAAGTTCAATACCAAAAGTGCAACCACTCGACATGAAATTCGATACCAAAAGTGTGATAATAGGAGAGGGAGTAATACGAGCAAATAAAGGAGAGACAACTGCCGAGCCATAGCTACTAAGCACACTAATAGGTGGCTTCATTATTCAATTGCCTTGTCGATAAACTTTGTAGGCGCCACCACACGATCCTGATGCAAACAAATCGTGAGGTATATACGGCATATCATAATTTCTATATAGATAATGCACTTGTGATTTTGTAACTTACCCTCTTTTTAAAACCTATGGATGGTGAGTGTGTCCCCCCTGTCAATCTCAAAGTCAAAGACGCATATGTGAAACTCTTTGAGCCTTGATGCCTTGGCAAAGTCTGGCCAATTCTTTGATAAGGTGGCCCTCTTGTCTGTACCCATTATCATCCGGACGTGTCTCATAACACCCTCAGTGCTGAGTTTGACTGTGATGTCCTTGACTGGCTCGCATTTAGATGGTCCATTAGATGTAGCTCTGTGGAGTGACAATATATGTACTAGAAAAAAAAGTGCATTGGTCACAGTTGGGTACTACAATTTGTCAGAAGTAGGGTTTTTAAGATCCATACCATCCTCTGTCCAGGAGCGACGAATGTCTTGTTCATCTTGCAAACATATTACTTGACGAGAGGGTCGGTCGAACCAACGTAACGCTCAAGTCGTTTGATCTCGCACGGGGAATGTCCAATTCACTTGCATAGACACACTCATATCTGAAGATGTCAAAACTACCCAGATGTGGTCCTACATGATAGCATTTGATCTTTAGCCCATGGTTAGAAAACCATCTGTAAACATGATAAATTGAGATGAGCTTGTTACCCCATGTCACAGTCCTATCACATAGACACGGTCCATCACACGTAGCCTGAACCTTTCTCTTCTTAGTGTAGTGGTGTTTCTCTTAATATTCGATAACAGAAAAAAAATGGGAGGAGGGATCCTTCGGTGTCGGTGTGTGGTTGCCGCGGCCTGAGCGGCTCGAGTTGATCTGGGGCGGAGGGAGAGAAGGAGAGTGTAGGGGCGCCGACGGTTGGTAGAGGGTAGACGCCGGGGCCGGGGAAGACAAGATCGCCGCCGTTGGGGTTGGGATTGGGGGAGAGGGAGGCGGCGACTGAGTTGAGTGGGAGAGGAGGAAAACCTCACTCGTTTGGATGGGCTTGGGTCGTGGGTACGTTTGGTGTGTGTGCGTGGGGGTTTTCAGTTCCGTGGTGGTTTGAACAAAATGTAGTACTCCCTCCGTCCCAAAATTCTTGTCTTAGATTTGTCTATATACGGATGTATCTATTCACATTTTAGTGTTAGATACATCCGTATCTAGATAAATCCAAGACAAAAATTTTGGGACGGAGGGAGTACTATCTCGAAGAGCCGGGCGGGACACACGCCAAATATCTTGGCGCGAGAATTGAGAGTCACGGTGGGTGTTTGAGGGTTATGAGCGGGAGGGCAAAGTATTTCGAAAGAAGCGCCGGTGTGGGCGGTTTGGACCTGAGCAATAATTCGGCCTGCCTTCTTCTCATTGGTCAATCAGGCCCTCCCATGGATTGCCCCCATGGAATCGATCTCAGCCGCCCATCGTTTCTAGATCCGATGTCACAGACATCACTTCACGCGGATCACGCCCAGTAAAACCTATCAAACTTTCCCAACCACTCCGGTGTAAATTTCTTTCTGGGGTATCATAGATTTGATGAAAAGAAATTTAGAAAACAAGTCTACTATAAATACATGAAACTAAAAAAATGTGAAAATGATTTTTTGGTAATGGCAGCTTTTAGAATTCTTTTTCGCGGTTGTTGGTCTCGTACTCTCTTACGTCCTGTGATGGTGGATCTTGTTTGTGTTGTTTCAGTACTTTGTTGTGTGGCTTTATTTATAAAATCAGGCATATATGCCTCTTCTCTACAAAAAATAGAAATTATTTTTTGCCATGTGACCAAGGGGTTGCCATTTAGGAGTAGTGCTTATTTTCTTTCATATCAAATTTTTTAGGCGTGCCTTTCATCTAACTAGACCTTGACTCGACAATACCCCAACAACAACGAGCTTGCCCACACGGACATCCTGGCGCGCTCCCGAGTTGATTGGTGCTCAACGAGCTTCATGAGGCCCGGTCTTCTACGGGTCCTGCGGACCTCCTGGCGCCGTCCTTCCTTAGGCACATGGCTACCTGACGCCCTACGTCTTTGGTGGACCTCCCGACGCCATTGTCACAAAGCTTCGTTTGCTTGTCGTCATGTTCGGTGTAGCTTCACACCACCATGCACTTCATTTGAAAGCCCCAAGCTCGCCACCTCTTCTATTGTTCATTGTTTCTGAGATAGCTCACCGCTCATGTCAAGTTGTAAGCTCGCCACCTCTTAGGTAGCACCTACAGCTATGAATCAGGGTTAGTGGCAATGACATGCACCGGGGACAAAGCTTATCCGAGAGACTGTGTGCACCGGGGCCAAGGATTGGGCATTTGGACGAAAATAGATCGGGCAAGGTAATTATTCTTGTAAGCTGGCCCGTGAAGCACTAGATTATTCACGAGGCCTTCTTGTGAAATTTTCATGTAACAAGCATGAATTTACAAGACCAATAGAACATCCTCCGTTCCTCAATATAAGGTGTATTATTTTTTCAAAAAATCAAACTTTTCTAAGTTTAACCAATTTATAGACAAAAATATCATTATCTAGAATACCAAATCATTATGACTAGATTCATCATCAACTATATTTTTACATTTTATATATTTAATATTATAAATCTTTATATATTTTGCTGTAAAGTTGGTCGAACATACACAACATTTGACTTTTTGAAAAGCTAATACACCTTATATTTAGAAACCGAGGGAGTAAAGAGCAAGGGAATCATGGACGGGTCTTCCCTAGCTAGGGACAAATGTGGCAATGGTCAAGCTTAATTGTCACCTATTACTAAAAATTTAGGCATGATTAGACAGTCATGCCTTAGATAGTCAATGTCATCATCGTTGTCAAAGAGACATGCATGTAGTGAGAGAGATTATCACATGTGGCTATTCGACACATGCCGAGTCAATTCCTTGAGTGTCGATCCTAAACGCCCGCTCCGCGCGCATGAAAACAAAAAGATTTTGCATGGTGGAACGAAAAGCCTAACATATGGTTTGAATCATGCATGCATGCATGCATGGTTGAATGTAACGATTCATCAGCGAGCGAGCGAGAGATCTGGATTTGGAAGAAGAAGAAGACGAAAAGAAAAATAAACCAACTTGTGTTGCATGCATGCATAATGGCCGGGGTAACCAGAAATTACGGAACGTGCACGCCCGGTCATCAAGGAATGAAGAGCACACTT